TTTTTTAGTAGTCAGAATTTTCTTACATTTTAGAACTTTCTTACAATTTAAATGCATTTTCTAAGGAACGTTGATTTTGGGAAAATTTCTGTACCCAAACACAAATTACAAAAGAAGCTATTTATAGAATTCTTAGAAATTTCAAATGCAGATTTTATATAATGTTAGCGATGATTTGAACTAATAGCTAAGGTCTAAGGTCTTATTTTAATCAAGCTTTACGAAAGAATATTTTGAATTTTTCTTTAAAAATTCGATTCTTAAACAATGTATTTAGTTTTATTTCATTGCTTTTCGAAAACTTTTTGGATTTTAGTTCAAAACACAGGTAACCACATTATTAATCCAGAAAAAAAAAAAAAATTTGAAATTTATGTATTACAATTTGCAGTTGAGGTGTTTGGTCATGATTTGCAGTTTTCAAACTTAAATTTGCCCGTGTTTGAAAAATATTTAATAAACTTTACTTTAAATTTATAAATTTTGCTCCTCTGCTTACCTAACATAAAATTAAAGTTTTAATTGAATCTTCTTTTTTTTTTTATTTTTTATCGAAGCCAATCTAACACCTTAACATTTTACAGTTTGTTTGCTTGTTTGTTTGTTCGTTTACGTTCTAAAGTTTTTTTTAAATGATTTCATTTTTTTTTTCTTCAAATGTTGATTAAAGTAGAAAAGCAAAACTCCAGCTATGAGGGGGTTGGAAAGAACGAATGATTAATAATTGACACCTTCTTTTAAGCCTGAAATAATCTGAAAAATACATACTTTGCAAAGGAAATTTTTTCCTTTCTTTTTTTTTTTTTTGCATATTTCTGCTAATTGTGGAAAAAAAACACTAAAATTACAGCTTCAAGATACAGAAACTCTGATGTCCTCAGACGAAATATTAAAAGAGGTAAAGAAAAAATCTTTAATTTAAGGGAGTTGTTAAAAGAAATAGCAAATTTATTCATTTTATAAAAAATGCGTGCAAGTAATTTATATATTAAAATATTAATGTTTTTTTTTTGTTTCGTTTTTACTTTTTTTTTAAGAGAACATTTATATACCAAGTAAAATAAAATTTTATAACACAAAAATAGACACTGTACCTTTTATTACCCATTGGCAAAATGGGTCTTGGTTTTGATTTCGTGGCGTAGTCACTTTTCAACTACAATAAGCTAGAGTAATGGTAAGCAGTGCTATGTCAACCGCTTCTGTTTGATAATGTTTTTAGAATTCTTTTTTTCTCTTTTAATTTTGCTATGCATTAAGTTGGAGAATTTATTTTTGAGACATGGGACCAGAGAGATCCCATAAATACTTCTTGAGTTGTGAATAAAAGAGAATTTCATCATTTGAACGATATTTTTGTTTTTATTGTTTTAATTAGGAATCAGAAATTCTAACCTACAGTTCAAACTGAATCGTTCAAACTGGATTCCCTATTCATGTAAAATTGAAGAAAAACCTAGCTTTTAAATCATATCGTGAATCCGAAACGGGTGTATGATGCAGCTGACAATCACCATCAAACACCATTGTACCAATCCGAGAATGTTAATATTGATCTCGATTGGCTGTTCAATGTCTTCTATTCAGTTATCAAAAGAATTTACACAGATTGTGTCTGAGTTGCATTTAAATATGTGTTCGAAATTGTGTACCGAACAGTTCAGGATTAACAGTTAAAGATTTCCAAGATGAAAACACAATAAAATTTCCTTTCCGTAAAAGAAATTAGAGGACAACTATTTTGCCAATGGGTTACTCGTGATTGCCTTGCGGCGATCACAATTTTCTTCATTTTGTAGTGAATCGTATTTTTATTTTTATTCATCTATTGATTTATTTATTTTATTTTATTGTAATTTGTATTTTATAATTTTTAATTTTTTAAATTTTCTTAATTATTTTTAATTTTGAAATTTTTATTTTTATTCTTAAAATAAAATTTAAAATTAAAATAATTTTATTTTAATGTTACTTTTTATTATAAATTTTTTTTTTTTTTTGATATTTTCTAATCTGCAAACACACATATTCTTAGGATTTACATGAAATACTAAGATAAATTTTAGTGCTGCCCTCTAATGTAAAATTTTAAAATCATATTTCTCATTATTTCTATAATATGAACAAAATGAAACACAATATTAACATTTCATATATTATAAACTATATGAAATAAATTTGCAAAACAATTACTTAAGATTAAGGATGTATGCAAGATAAGCAATGTCATGAAAATATTAATTTAACCCCGAATAATTTTGAAAAATATTACCATCAATCAACTGGAAAACCCTAAGAAAATATTTGGTGCTGCCCTCTATCATTTGTATTGAGAAACATATTATATCAGTAATTTATGATGAATGCAGTTTAAGTAAAAATTTCCAGAGCACTGGTAGTTTTTCATAACTTTGTTTGATAACGAAAATATATCAGAAAATTTAAAAAGAAATTAATGTAATTTAAAAACAGTATTTTACGTGTAATAAAATAATTTGAAAATAAAATTATAACATAAAATGAAAACTAAATATTAAATAATTTAAATAAAATAAAATTATGCATGCTGGATAAAAAGTTTAAAATTAATAACACTTTTTTTTAAACTTTTTTTTAAATTGTATCGTTTTTATCGAACTCTTAATACTGAACAGACTAAAGGTCGGAACATTTTTTTTTCCTCCATCTTACTCATTCAGATGTATCAAAACATTATCAGAGTTATAATTACTTTATACTTAGTTAAATAACATTTTCTCATCATTTTACTTTTAAGGAGATTGTAGAATCCCCGATATATATATATATATAGACACTGTACCTTTTATT